GCCTATAAGCCTATTTAAAATAGAACAAATAAAAATAAATAATTAGATAGAGATTCACTACTTTATAGTCCTATACACTTCAGTGCACACAACCCGGGTTTGTAACACACAGACATCATCAGTTCTCAGGTGAATATAAGAGCTACTACGGTAATGCTGATACTGGTAATTAAACTTCACAATGACACTATAACAACGTAGGTTTGGTCAGCTGGGATGAACCTTAGTCACTGTGTTTGTCACATGTGACTATTAGCTCCAAAATCCTTTTACGAAAAGCACAAGGAGATAATTATATAACACTATTTAAATATTCAAACACACTGTCAACTGCATTCTGTATGATGTGTAGTAAGTATAAGGCCATGAATAAGGCTATATAAGGCAGTACAATTGCATCAGCAATTACTTAACAGTTCTCCACACCCACAAAGAAAAAAGGATCAAAATAGATCAAAGATCAAAACAACACTCTAAAATACTATTGTTCCGTTAAGCTGCACAAATAGATATGAAAGTGCTCGGCACCATACTCTTACTTTGAGCTACAGGCAGAGTGACCTGGTTACATGCTAGGTTGGGTTGTGGGTGGTCTGGCTGCCGGTGAAACTGCTATCAGAGGCGCGCGGACAGTCTACTCCCTCTGGCTGCTCTCTGTTAGTGTTCTTCTTCCCTTGTGGCGGTTAAACAATCCGAAATGCGACTCTGTGCCATATTCCCTCCTTGTTTCTGTCATTGGACTATGTAAATTTACTAGTGTGCTGCCAAGAGCAGATACCTCTTTTCTCTGCAACCACTAGCTTGCTCAACGTTGCCATGCCAAATACTTTGCACACATTTATAATTTGTGCAAAGTGTTTTTAGTAAAAAAAAAATTTAAATCTCCCCCTCACCACTAGGGGGTACTGCAGGGCCCCTAGCACCCCCACTTCCCACGGCCATAGGTATAATAAGCAGAAGTGTCGATGATTTTGTTTGCCTGATAAGTCATCATCAAAATCTTTGTCTAGTCTACGCCTTGACAACGAAAACTCACCACGCCTCATTATTTTGCAGGTATCTAAGAGCCTTGTTTATTTAGTCACCGTCCCATTGACATCAGGAAAAAATGGTTTGTTTTTTGCCATTCTCCTTGTTGATGAAAACAACACTGCCACAAAGATAAATCATTATCTACTTTATATCCGTAAAGCTTTGCTATATTTTTTTTACACACAAAAAAGGGATTTTAAGTTTGACTAAACTGTAGCCAAAACGTCCTCCAATTCATTTAAACCAAGTTTTATATATTCTTGTGTTTCATGTGTGGGATGAATAGTTGGAGTCCTTTTGATTAGTAATTTTGCTATCCACTAAATTGTTTGAAACTTAGAATTTCTATCTTAATGCAGAATTAAAAGTAAAAATAATTCATTTTTGATTAAAATTTAGTTTTATAGCTATTAAGTTTATGGGATATCAGTTTCATTCTCCCGTTTGGGAGTCATTAAGATGCGCTGCACACGTTTTAATGTTAAATATTATTGTGGGGGTTTCCTCCACACAGTACACATCCTTAGAATTGCCAGCCATGTAAAATAAGCTGGCCTCCATTTACTGCAGTTGGCACTAAAGGCTCCATTAGTCATTCCATGAGAAATTGATTTGGTCCGAATTCTTCGGACCTGCACACAGGTGTGACAGGCTACATGCTCACCTGGCTGCTTTGTTGAGTTTCTGCCATTGCAAGAGAACAGGAGCAACAGTTTTATGAAGAAAAGACAAAAGACCAGCAAAGTACATTTTAAACCCCATTAAAGATTCCAAACAAAAAGTAAAAGGAAATAAAATTTGTCTAGTGGGACGGAAGGGCCAAACTGGAGTCTAATCGGTGATAGAATAAGACAAGAGTAATTATTTGGGAAGCTTTTAACAAAAAGGGAGTAGTGTAATAGTTTAATGGTGCATAACTGTCTGAAGATTAGGTTAGTAAACTACATTAAACTTAGTATACCCAGAAGTTTTAAGAGGGTATAAAAAGGTCAACAATAAAACAAAAGTCGATACACATTCTGATTGTTACTCTGTGTGCACTTGTTTACACCCTGGAGGTTTTTAATAACCTTCATTTGTATATTTGTATGTTGCATGTGTTCCTATAAGGCTCTTATCATGTTTCACAGATATTATTTATTAATGTGACCTTCTGGAGCCAGAGATGTTTTCAACATCCATCTGACTCCTGCAAATCATATCTCACAATAATGTTAACAAATAGCACTAACATGCATTATAATTCCCTCTGCAGTCTGAGCAATGAGCACTGGTGTTTTGCTTCTCTTCATTATCTCTAGATGACTGACTTTAATAATCCATTCCTCTCACTCCCTGTGAAATTCAGCAGGCAGCTGGGTAGCCGTAAGCTTGCATGAGACCCATGGGAGGTTATCAGGAAATCATAAAATAAGAGACAAGCCACCCCCTGAGAGGAAATAAGCAATACACTGTCTCAACAAATAAACACAGGGGCTTCAACTCAAACAGAGAAAAAATTACACAACCCAAACATTCTCATTTGATAATTTTTTGAAAAAATCAAGTGTAGAAGCCACATAAAGTCTTTCCTTTGTAATCATAGTTTTCTTACCAAGTCATCCATAGAGACAAATGGTAATAACACCAACACCTAGGTAGCTATCAGTCTACCACGAGGACCTTGCACTTCTGCGTAAACAAGACTTTAAGTCTTAACAGGAACATGTCACACATTTACGCTGCTCTCTGGAGGATTTTAAGAGTCATTCTTATTTTGTCACATGGTAATAGAGTCTGTAGGGTAACAACTTCACATTGAAAGCAAACAGATAGAGCCACTTGCTTCAAATGAGTCATTAAGATATGTAAATCACAGATTATGTTAAATACACAAGATGAGAGGGGAAACAGGAGAGGAGGAGAAATGTGCGACCAAGGCAGATTTCCTTGGATTGAGAATTCAGGCCTCCTGAGAGCTTAGATCACAGAGAAGCGAGGTGGGGCAGAGGTGAGGAACCAACAGGGCTGGAATGGGGAGTCCAACGGTGCAAATTATGTAAAAGGGAAGGAAAAAATGGGCAAAGTGGTAGAGAGGAGATACAAGATGTGATAGCTCATGGGCAAGAGATGGAAGCCATGTTATTGACCTCTCACCCCTGTGGTTTCCCTCAGGCTGTGTGGGTTTGTGTAAATGTGTGTGTTTTACTTTAGCCTTCAGCTATACTCCAGACCTCCCGATGATCAGAACACCACAGGCTTTAGATCAAAGAGCAATGAGCGTGGTTTGCCTTCAAATGGGTTACCAGTGGTCTATGGGGTCACACATACAAGTCCACACTTCCTCTCTTTTATTAATAAATATTTATGCACATATGCCGGTGTGTGCAATCATAAGGAAACTATTGCACCAACAATCACACAAAGGAACACTTTCCCCCGCTGTGCTGTGGTCAACCAATCATCCTGATTAACAATGCTGTTTATTGTCCCTCTGTGTTCACACTGATAACAATAAAGCAGTGCAACATAAGGATCCACTTAGAGTCGTCTGCGTTACTATCAAGCATAAGCTCTATGGCTGTAATCATCATCTGGTTGTTATAAGATGTGCAGTTCTTACAAAATGCCTATTGGTTCTGTTTTTATAACTGCTCATTGTTGTAATTTGAAGTTGATCTTATAGTCTCCAAAAAACAAACAACTGTGACACTGGTTTAAGCTCCAAATGTTTCACTTTGAGCATCCAGGACATAGCAACAGTACCTGAAATCTCAACACAGTTCTTTATGTACATGCATTGATGTGTGACGGGCACGTTGACATGGTAAAGCTGTACTTTTATCACATCAATCAGACAGACACTGACAAATGATTCTTTGACTAGTGTTTTTATATTTAAAAAGAGGAATTATTCCTATTACTTACAACAAACCGCTACTTCAAATTTTGCTACCTAGGCTTTCATAAGGACTATAATACTATTAATAGTAAAATTAAAAGGAGAATAACAATGGACTTGAGGAATTGTGTTTATCTGTTTGACTCTTAAACCCTGCTTTTAACTTACAATACTTTTAGAAACTATTTAATTAATTACAGATTACCTTGGTTGTTTTCTTTTTGTCACCTTTTTTTATCTGGCTTTTATTGACATTACATTGTCACAAGTACAGAGCAACAAATTTAACTCTCTGCATTTAACCCATCCCCTAGGGGAGCAGTGGGCTGCCATTGTGAGGTGCCCGGGGAGCAGCGTGGGTTAAGGGTCTTTGCTCAGGGAGCCAGAGTGGCAGTCTGTGAGATTGGGCCTCGAAACTCAAAACCTCTGGATTCCAAGAGCAATGTCCTAACAACTAGGCTGCCACACCCCACAAAACATTTAAAAGTTTTAGTAAATTAAATCAATCTAAAATTCAGACAAATATATAATGAATGAATACCTTGGGGGTGCTGCATGCCGTCTTTTAGGTGGTCTGTACTGATGGACATAGGCTACTGGCCTTGTGGTCTGGCTGCCTCTAGGTGGGCTCAGGAACCTGGGACACTGTCTTGGCCTGGGGGGCCTGGGTCTTGGCAACTATATTGCCAGGTTTTTATACCGGTTTATACCAGACTGGCAGCGCTTGGTGTATTGGTGCGCCTAACGCTGGTGGGGGTGTGGATGTATAGAGCCTCCCTCCACTGTTAGGTCTCAGGGTATGGGCTGTTTAGGTCAGTAGGGGATTTGACTCCCTGGGAACGCCAATTTGTCCCCCAGTCCTTTCCCCCCCATTTCCCAACCACCTCCCTACACCCTGACAGTTGGTCTGTTGCATAACCTTTTAAGAATTTCAGCCTATGCTTTCTTTAATCATAATTTCATTAAAGCCTAACTGGTGATGTTTTTGGGGGTTGTGGCTTGTAAGGTCATCCTACTATATCGTAAATAGATTTAAAATCTTGATTTGTTTACTCCAAAAGCTTACTTTTATTTTTCTAAGCTATTTACAGGTGGATGTGCAGGTGTACTTTGGAATATTTCCTAAAACACTTGCATCTAAGTGTCATAAACTGATTGTCAGACTTTCTTATTTTGCAGTATTTAGGAGACAGCAGAACCTATGGTACCGTACATCAGTGTAGAGCGAGAATGAGACACTGTTTGGTCTTGAGAGTTTTTTCAGGAATATATAATTGGGAGACAAGTATTTGGCGAACATGGGGGTTTTTCCATTTGCAACGCATTTACAAGTCTTTATGTACTCTTCAACAGTGAAAGCTGCAACCTAAAAGGAACAATCCAGAAAGACAGATTTTTATATTTAATTTAATTTAAATTGAAAAGGCATATCACCTGCTGTCAAACAAGAAATAAGTAAAAGGGACACACTACACAAGTAAAAAATATGTTAGCTGTGATTTAAAGAAGTGGCTGGAGTAAAGTAACATACCCTTGTACAGGAAATTACTTAAAGCTTACTGTTTTTCACAAATGAATTAATGATTTTTCTCATTCTCCAGCCAGTTGATTTTGAGATGAACCGTGCCTTCATGCTCACGGTGGTGGTGTCTAACCAGGCCCACCTAGCCAGTGGGATCCAGTCTTCGCTTCAGTCAACCGCTGGTGTCACCATATCTGTGAAGGATGTCAACGAGCCACCTTATTTCCCCACCAACCCTAAACAGATCCGATTCGAGGAAGGTGTTCCCACTGGCACCAGCCTGACCACTTTCTCAGCTTCAGATCCTGACAGACTCCAGATGCAACAGATAATCAGGTACAGCATGCACACTGTGATTTGCCATTGGTTCTTTTCACTCTTGGCAGTTTATTCTAAATTATCTTAACTTATTTCAAACTCTTCCTTACTGTACTCCAAGAACAAAAATCTAAATGATAGTTTGCAATAAGAGGTAAAAGTGCAGCTACAGGAGTGATATTGGCTGTACCCATCATTCTTAACTTATTTTCTTAAGTATTGGAGATAACTTTATGCAGCATCAACATTTAGAGCTTGATCTTCAAACAGGTGCAAACAGCCTTTTTCAATATGCAGACCACATTCTAATAAGCAGACCACCAAGTTAATGGGTGGAGGATTCGCAAATCTAGATATTTGCCATAGCCACCGTTTTTGCGTCTTTTTATCACCACTTTACTTTTGTTCACAGCTGTTTGAGATGAGGCTTTGTGGGTACAAGGTGCACTATAAATATTGTTTTTTCTAATATCATTATTACCTCCATCTCTATGGCCTGGAACCTCACCTTTCTTTTACAGCCACTCGTAAACTGCCAGTTGAACATGCACTTTGCTCATTTTAATGAGCGTAGCCAAATCGATTGTACATCTTAACATTTGTGCTGTAATCTTTGGCTCTGATGTTAAACAGGATCTAACTGTAAAAACATCCAGTAGACCCTAATTTTTGACGTCTTGCTGTCGGTTCAACTTTCTGGCTAAAGGTGCTGTGCCCCTTCAGAAAGAAGTGCTCTATTAATAACCCTCTGAAATTACGAAGAGATTTAAATCATGACGCAGTTGCAAAGCTCACACTTTATTAAATGCCTATAGAATAGAGTAAGTGTACTGGCATAATTGAAAATAGGAAGTGAGAAATTTGCAATTGAGACAACAACATGGATGTTCTGTTTGGGATTAATGCAGCCTCACACTCAGCTACTCCTTCTTTCTAATTTTCTTTGTGGGGAACATATCTAAACAATTTTCTCAGTTAATTTCACAGCAGATGAGAGGGTAAATTGTGTGTACATTATACATTTGGAAGACACTAAAGCCACCAGCTGGGGCTTCTCCCCCTCTGTTTGACTTATTTCTCTATTTCTCTCTCTCTTGTTTTTGCTCTCTTTTTAATTAGGTTTTTATAAGTTTTTTTTTTTATATAAGTAGGTATGGGACTGCTCAGTGATGCAGTGGGTAGCACTGCTGCCTTGCAGCAAAAAGGTTTCCGGTTTGATTCCCGGCCCGGGGTCTTTCTGCATGGAGTTTGCATGTTCTCCCGGAGCATTTTACTCCGGCTTCCTCCCACAGTCCACTGTGTTTGTAAATGGTTGTTTGTCTCTGTGTTGCCCTGCGATAGACTGGCGACCTGCCCAGGTGTATAATGACTGTATAAATGTTTGGTAGGAATGCTTTAAAAGAGCCAAGACATTAAATAGAGAACTACAGCATAATCCAAAAGTCAAACTTAAGGTGAAAATCGGCTTGAGGGACTTAAGAGTACTGCCAAGCAGAAACAAACTGTGGACAGTGAGATAACTTTAGGTCAAGGTTTTGACTTGACAGGTGCTTATCAAAGACAGGACATACTGAGGTGTCCCATTGTGATTAGGCCAGAGAGAGAAAGAGAGAGAGAGAGAGAGAGTGAGAGGTCGGGACAGCAAGGCATCATGCATCACCTGTCATACACACAACCAGTAAGGTCGAGAGATGGGACTGGAGACACTGGCATGAATGATTACCCAAACTGCCTCAGCTATGCTCAAGACATGCATTTTTTATCCTCTGGGTCGGGGGTTTGAAAAATAAATGTCATACCTCTCCCTGCTGCTTGCTAAGATCACTAACCTGCCAGGACTAATCATACATCCAGCTGTATTCAAACACCTCCCAACTCCCAAATGAGCTGAGCCTTCTGGTGGTAGAGACATGGGGAAGCATAGCAAATGATGCACAGGAGGAGATTGTACAAGCAATACTACCAGTTTAACATATAATCCTAATTTTCTTCAAAACTGCAGCAGAAAAAAATAACTAATTGTTTTATATTTTCTAATCTGTAAACACTTTGAACCACTGAAAAAAACAAGTCTACCGGTAATATTATTAGGTATTAACAATAATATCATAGAGCTGTAAAAACTGATTACAATGTCAGAAAATACTTTAATTAAAGTTCCAAAGCAGAGAACAGAACTCTATGCATACATTTGTTTTTTACCCTAATTTGTTTTTGAGACTAATTGTAGATCAAAACCAAATAAACTCTCTAAATTTATTAGCCATTTTAGCTTAGACTCTGCTAACTTAATTACCCCTCTTTTTGAACAAGAAGGATATTGTTTAACACAGAATTAAACAACATAGATGAAATTAATTTAAACTCAATACATTTGCAGTAAATTTAAGTTATTTAAAGATTGTTTTAAGACTAATAGAAAAAGCCACAGTAGAGAGTGACACAGTCTGCCTTTGGAGTTGCTGGCTAAAACTAAACTCCTATTGCATTATTGGATTGCTCCCCCCTGAGGATCAATGCAAAGTCAGATTTTTCTAAGGTGATCCTATCCTTTCCTATCCTTAATGTCTTCATATAGCATTTTATGGTGATTCCATTTGATGGAAAAAACTACTTTTGAACAGACTTGTTCTCCTGGTTCAGAAAATAATACTTTTCTTGGAACACTGTTATCGTTAATTGCTATTGATATAGCAACATGATGATGATCTCCGATATGACTGAAGCCTACGATTAGCATGTTCTAAAAATAAGGTGTGGAGTGGGGCCATATTGATTGGCCTAATGATACATAACAAAGTCTAGGCTTTGTGAATCACTCCCAGGTTAACGCTCCAACTTTACTTTTGCATATAAAAGACGCTTAACTAAAAGATAAAAGATATACTCACCATTACTTCACATTCACTTGTATATAATCTGCATATATATATATATATATATATATATATATATATATATATATATATATATATATATATATATATATATATATATACTCTTTTTATGAAAAATATATTTTTATAATCATATATCTGTTATTGTAGACTGATGATATTATTTTATCTTAATAATGCTCTTTGATGTTAATGCAGAAAAGTAAGGTTAGGGGAAAGCTTTTAAATAAAAAGCTATTTTAAGACCTGACAGGTTTAACTCTGCATGTCATGTTTTGACAGTAACTCTGTTTACCAGTTGGCTTCAGCCTGTTTAGAGTGTTAGTCTTTGACAGTTTGACTGCTATAAAATGTTTACCTGCTGTTTTCATTAGACAACCCCACTTTTTCTTTGCACAAGTGTTAGAAAAGTATTTCATGACTTAAAGCTTCCTCCACCTTAACTGGCATCTGTGGTAATTAATTCAGTTTTTTTGCTGTAGAATTCATGTTCTAGAACACAAAGAATAAGCAATTTAATTTGAGTCAGTTTATGAGGTGATGGAAAGGTTATACGAAAAAAGAAATAGTTTTATCTTTATCATCAGGCCCAAGGTTATTGGGACTTAAAATATTTTCTACTTGTGATATTACGGTTTATTAGAGGACTGTGGTAACCATAGCAGTTTGTGTAGTTGTAGTTTGTTTCAAACTACGCAAAGGCTAACTTGCAGTGGAGTTGAACAATTTCAGCTGCAGTAGGCATTAAATGCAACAGCTGTGTTTGATCATGCAGTGATGCTGGTATTTCTGAATCTTTTCTGTTCTTCCTCTTTTCCTTCCCACCCATTTGGCTAATTTCCTTCACTCCCTCTGCCACCCCCTGTTACTGACTCACCGAGTTATTAGTGAAGGTTTTACAATCTGCGAGTCAAGCTTCCTTGTGTGTAACCACTTTAAGTATAGAAATATCCCTGACATGATCTTCGTCTCTGCAATGCGCTGTGCCTGGGAATCCTGCCTACTGCCTGCTGGGAAAATTCCACCGCCTTCTCAGCAGGGGAGAGATTTTACTTTCTGTCCTCCACCCCGGCCATTACTACCTGCTGCCACCTATCACTCCAAAGCTTTTTCTTTTTTTTTCTTTTCCATTAAGGAGAACCATATTCATGAATACTTTTTCATTGAAAAATAAGCAGGTTTTGAACTGCAGTGTATTCAGCCGGCATGAAAGCAAAAATAAGGTCAAATCCGTTTCTATAAAGATGGATTTAAAACCTGATATATAGAATATAAGACTTGCCAGTTTGCCCTTCCTGCCTTCCAGTAAATTAAATCACACAGATGTAGAAAACCTTGTTGTGTGAGGTCAAGGTGTCACATGTTCACAGATGATGCTTTTACATGGGAGTGAGACTGCATTTAAGCGAGAATGCAGCTAGTGAATACTCTATCGCAAAGCAAACAAAAGAATGGGTGAAAGGACACAGACAGGGATAAGGAAATGTATGAATGCCGGGAGCAGCTAGATCAGTCTGACAAACTATCCCCCAAATAACTAAAAGAATGGAAAAGGGCAATAGCAACAAAAGCCAGCGAGACCAAAACAGTGAGATCAGAGTGATAATAGGGATTTAGTCTAAGAGAGGATCCTGTTTTTTTTTTTTTTTGCATCTTTGTCCCAGAAGAGGGCTGCCACCTTCCAGCACGTCGCATTTCTTGTTCATTGATCAGTACAAGGAGTCCTCCAAAATGAGAAAACACTAAAAATGTATCTACGTTACCCAGTCAAGCAGTCAAAACCTGTCCTTCCTTAGATTGAACTCTTTTTTTTCCAAAGTGTGCTAACATGTGTGCCACCATTAACAAACAATTCACACGCTGACGGTTTTAGCAGCACATAGGCAAGGAGGCAATTTTATTGCCGGTACACAGCAGTTAAAAAAAAGTTAAAATTGACTGTAGGCTTTGGCTCTAAGTAAAGAATCAATAAGAAAATAATTGCTGTGATGTTTAGGGTGTTCTGATTTTGTGCATGTGTTTCAGAGGGTAATCTGTGTTTCACTGGCATAAGAAAAGTGGCATAAAGGATTGCTTATAGACGTACTGTAGAAACTCCAGCGCTAACTTCTGCATCTATCTATCCATGTCTGTGTTTAGGTACTCAAAGCTGAATGACCTCGCAAACTGGCTATCTATCAACAGAACCAGCGGTCAGATAGTAACTACAGGAGTTCTGGACCGGGAGTCTGTCTATGTAAAAAACAACATTTATGAGGCTACTTTTCTGGCTATAGACAATGGTAAGAAGCTGTACTCTTTTCTCGTATTTGCACTATATAGTTTATCAATGCTGCTGTGTTTATTGTACTTTCAAAACAACAACATAGACCCGTGGATGTGGACGGAGATCTACATTTTTTTGTCCTTTTCAAGTCAGTCATATTTAGATCTTCAGTAATACCAATTGTCAATCTGCCAACATCATTATTTTTTTTACTTTAAACCCTAAATAGTTTAATTTACAAAGTTTTTTTTGGTTCAAAGCAAAAGGAAACTATTTAATTGTGTTTTCATGAATAGAATTTAGCTTTTAATTAGAACCAAACTGTTCTGTGTGCAACCCCCAGATTCAGGCTTATGATTTGAAATTTTATTTTTGTATGAAGGTATTTCTGTTGCAAATTTTATTGGTGTAGAGTGTGCACTTAAAGGCAAAGAGAAAAATCCTTTCAAAAAAAAAAAGGTTAAAAAAAATAAAACAAATGAATTTCAGTAGATTCAGATTTTTCATTTATAAGACCTTTTTTGGCTCTCTTTTAAACTCCTTGATGCCTGCAAATCTTCATCATTGCCATTTGTTTTATATTTTCACAAATACAAAAACAGGTTATTTTTTTCTTGTTTTCAATACAAGTAAACACATTTTAGTCCGAGTCACCCATCAAAACCCTCTCACTGTCATTTTTTTATTCATATTGATCTAATCCATACTGTTCTCAATATATCCAGAACTTTGTATGAAACAGTAAATGTGTATATTTCTTTACCAATCACAGACACAAAACTGCTGTTACACCTTCAATCATTTTTTTTGTCGAGGTACACAAAATATAAAAACTCATGTGTTATATCTTTGCTTCAGGTAGTCTAGCACATTTTGAGCATAAGACATTCACAAACCTATGCTTGAACACAAAACAGTAAATGCAACTGCAAACATTTGCTGACATGATTCAAAAATGCTGCTTTATGAATAAATATGGCTTAGATAGACTCCTTGGCACTTAGAGTATTAAGGAAACAAAAGGAAAAAAAATAGGGCATCAGCTGCACAAGATTGTGTTGATTAGGTTGTAGTCATGAACATCTGCTGTACACTGCTGTGAGTGAATGGCAGAGTGGATTTATAAACTTACATCACGACACAAACTGTCAAATCTTTCTTTTTATGTTAACTTTAGATCTAAAGTTTAAAGGTGGTTTGTAGCAGTTACATAAACGCCTCCCTTTTTCTGCTTTAACAGTTAAAAAGTCTACACATATTAGCAATGCTATTTTCCTTGCTCTGTCACACTGCTTCAGGGTAACTACATGGATTAAATCAAAATATCTCTACATAGGCCTAAAGATTTTCTTGATATATTGTCTATAACAAATCTGACCAAAAATATATGTAATAAGACTAAATTAAAACTCTCTACAGTTGATAAATTACTTTTAAACAGTTTGAAACAGGAATGTTTTCTTTGTCATTTTGCTTTCAGGTTTTCTGACTTTAAAGGTATAGTGGAGGATTTTTGCAAAATTTTTGAATAGACCTGGCCTATTGCACATGCACAACCCTGTACCAGCTCCTGAGAAGGAACGCCTATTAAACGTGTGCAACAACATTGCCCTAGCCCATGCATTGCTTATATAAGCTTACTTTCCAAAAGAAGATGTGCAGTTTTTCCACCATGTCAGACTCCAGAGTAAAAGTAGGGACGAGCACGTAGGACAGCCTTTCGTAAACATTTCAACAGAATGATCGACTATTAGGAGGACCACTTATTTTGATGATTTACCTGTAAGAACTATACCACTATACCTTTAAGTAAATATTTAATCTCAAATAGAAATATCTTACCTCTAGCAAGATATTTTAGTCAGATTAGAATATTGAACTTGTAGATTTAAAAATAATTTTTGGTCCAAGCATTGGAATGACTTCTAACATAATTTTTTTTATTTTTATTTTTTCTTATGAAAGTCACTTTGCATCAGAATACAGATCAAAATCATACTTTTTGGATGGATTTACAGGAGTACAGGAGCATGCAAAAGCTGAAAACTGCACAACTGAGCTAACTCAAAGGAAAGCCTGGATTCACACAGCTGGTCACACTGTTGATCCTCTCCTCTCTCCCTCTTTTATCTTCAGTCCAGGCCTGACTTCTCCTTCTATACCCCGTCATTTCTGTCGCATGTGTTATTTGTTCTGCCTCGAAGTTGAAACTTAAGCCTAACCAAGCACAAACTCAATCACAGCAAACAAACAAGTTCCACTTTAGTCAACTGGAATTGAGTGGCTGTTTTTCTCTTCAAGTAGGAAATGCCTTTTTCCCCTTTCCAAATTGCCTTATCAGTGACACACAGCTCTCTGCTGTGCTTACTTTAAGTTCAGCCGGGCTAAAAACTTAGTGGTATTTCTAAGTGTTAGCATTTGTGAAAACTCTAATGTGCAGCATTCAATTACATTTATTAGAAACATTAATATGTGCAGCTCACATGGAAAGGAGGTGGCAAGAGGTTGAATTTTGCCATCTTGCTGTATTGACCTTTCTTATTTGTGTTTTTTTGTTGCCTTATTTATAACCTAAACAAAATGTTGCCAATTTTTATTTCTCATCTAATGATAGACTAGTTTCACCTGATCTAAGCTTAAATGCACTTTTGCAAAGCTACAAACTTTTGAATTGGTTTGTATGCAGTTCTCAGTAAAGACAAAAATGATTCCAGTTCAAGCTGTTTATGTGATGTGTGTACTAAGCTGTGGAAATATAGCCTGATTTCTGTTTTTCTTTTCTTTTTTACAGCCCTTTTATAGTTATGTATAAAAAAAAACTTGCCAAAGACTAAAAGCATTTTTTCATTATTTATTTCATCAAGGAGAAAATTTTACTTTTACAAAAAATACCCCTTTGTGAAAAAAAGGGACCACTCCCCTTGTCAAATCAAAATTAAAATATTTTTGAAATTGCATGAAAATAACAGGTCTTATTACAGGATTTAGCCTAAAACTTCTTTAAAAATATTTCAGGAGAAGAGCATCATCCAATTAGTAAAACATGGCAGTGGTAGTGTGATGGTCTATACAGTAAACGCTCTACAGTTTTAGGGTGTAACATTGCCATAATTATTGGAACTTCGAAATGTTACTTTTACCAGAAAATTTATAAAGGAATATTAAATTCAATTCAGTTTATTTATATAGCACCAGTTCACAACACACATCACCCCAAGGGACTTTACAGCACTTAAAATTGGTCTGAATTTAAACTACATTGAAGTTCTGGACTTGAAACAGGCCAGCCATGCTTAAAATCCCTAAATCAATAGACTAACTTCCATTATTCCCACCAGTTCTAAGGTTAGCAGTTGTCATCCTCTTCACTAAGGGCATAGCCATTTAGGAAATTGATTTCCTATTTATTCAGATTACTCGCATATTATCACGTATGTATATATTTCTTGATAATCTTAAAATGTGAGCATGACAAATGCAGAAACATAGGACATAATTTTTTCCAGTACTACAGAGTACTTTGGCCATAATATAAAACAGATTATGGTAAAATGCTGTGAGGCAATAGGATTATTAGAGATGGACAGTGAAGAGGCTGTAACAGCGTAGAAAGAGGCACATGTCACATGCAAACACCACCCCCATGCTGCCCCCCCCTTGGATAAATCCTGTATAGCTTTGTTCACATAGATGTGTTCAACAATGAGCATATGGTCAGCTATTAGAAGCCTTTTCACTACTTCTTAAATCTATCAAAATAGAGTTAAGACAAATCCTTTTTGAGGAAATTACACCAACATAATTTATTTATCTGGTTAAAGCCCTCTTAATTCTCCTATCAGCTTTGCCAAGCTGCTTCAACATCTTTCCAATACAAGGCCGAGATTAGCAGATCCACAGACTGAGAGAAATCTGTGTGTGATTTATGTTCATATATCAACACGTGTACCAGCCTGTTTGTGAAGCGTTGTTGTTCTGTCCATGTTTGTATCAAGTTAGTACTTTAAACTTAGCTTTGCATATGTCACTTTTGCTTACTTTTCATCCACACTGCAAGCTGATTGCATAGATTGTTGAAATAAATTATTTTTTTAAAGAATTGTCTACAAAAATCGTTACCGTAATTATATGATTTTTTTTTTTGTGCAACATGTTATTTAGTCCAGTTATGATTAGAATAATCATTTTATATTATCTTGATTTGAATATTGCTTGAAACATTTGTGATTGTGATCCTATCCATTATTATGCAGACCTTTGTTCAGGAGTTATTAATATACAATTAGGGGCAAAACATCTAAAATGCTACACACTCTGCTTATTTTATAATCCATTGACCATCAGTCCTATAATACTATTTTTTTCATCCAGTTGTACATAAATTTTTTTTTATTAGCATTTAATGTTAAAATTGTCTATTTAGTTGTAAAATATTTTATTAACATATGAAATATATCAGGGCATTATAATAAAAGAAAATATTTTTCAATTATAAATCATTTGTCAAAAAATGAAATAAAAATAAATCAAATATACTTGTGGTGGGATCTCCTACAAAGATCAAACTGTTAACAAACTTATTGTGACCTGTCTCTGGTTGTGCCTTGCCCTTCTTTGGCAAATACCTTGCTCTCTAGCCACACTTAATTGGCTGATCTGTGTGATTTGCATAAATCCTTTTAAATTACCTTCCTCTTATCTGATCTCAGAGATAGGCCCTAAGATGGCAGAGTCCGTGCAATGACTCCACTGTTAGGGCATGACAGCAAAATGACTCGTAATTGGAGGCCGCTAAGGGTCGTCACCCCCTGGCACTCACTCAGTAAGCAGCTCAAAGCTTTATGCTGCTAAAAATCCCTTTTTTCCTTGATTTTTCTGTCACATTTGCCTGCTGTGCACACCTTTTCTTATTTGTTTTCTCGCTCGGCTATCTCACTTCCCCTGATTGTTAAATGTCTATCCTTTATTCCCAATTTTCCATAAATGTTGTTGGTAATGGTCTGTTACGCTGTTCAATCAATGCAACGGTTACAAAATTGTGTCTGTAGATGGGTTGTGAGTGTTTTTATGTGCAGCAGTGCATGTTATAGCAGTCCGAGGTTTACTATATTGCTGATGAAACAGCACCTGCAATGGCTTGCCTAAAGCATCAGAGCAACATTCACTAGTCCAGCTTCCGCTGACTCTAAATATTGGATCAGGAGCAGGATTACTGTGAAATTGTAGACACACCTTTTACAGAAATGTGGGAACTGTTTTATCTCTGCTTTATTGCTGAAAAAGTAAAATTGATGTAATAAGAGAATAGAGTATTACAGGTCCAGTGTGGTAAGCAAATTCTAAAAACAGTAGACAGTTTGTTTAATTATCAAGTGGTTTGAACTATATTTTTGCAAAAAATATCAAAATTGCAATTCATTTGCTTAAAGCAAGCACAAATCACTCTTTTGTTACCTTGTTTTTTGCCCAGTTTTTTTTTTCTCTTCAAAGGAAGATGTAGTAGACTTAACTTATACATTAATGAATATCAGCTACTTGCAGGAACTGTAGGTTGTATGCATGTTTGATCAAATTTACTGCATAATTATCTCAGAAAAACTTGATCTAATAGAATGCCCAGTTCTTTTTTCAGAAAAAAAAAATCTATTATCACTGTTGGAATTGAGCTTTTATGTCCACTATCAAAGATGACTCACGATGTTGTGTATATGAACACAGACAACGACCTGTTTTGTTGTATTACAGTCATCATTATTGTGCCTTAGCCGTCCTTGTGTGATTGAATGTGTTCTGCCTGCATCCCCATCGACTTTGATGGGATGGATTTAGCTGCAAGGCCAAAAGATAAGGTGATAAGCAAAACTGTCAAAAGTATTTCTTTCAAAAGTTAAAACTATCCCCCAGCCTGATCCCCTTTTCCCTCCAACATAATTATAAATGAAGAATGCCCATTTAATGTAATTCCTGTTCCATTTTTTTATAGTTTTTTTGTATTATTATTATTCTTATTTCATTATTTCTACGTCTTCTCTGTTGGCTGAAAAATTCTTTGTCCTCTCCTCCTCTGCACACATCTTTGCTTGTCATCTTCTCCTTCTGTCATGATGTTTTTGTTTTTGTTTCATCTCTTCCTTCTCTTAGGCTCCCCTGCAGCCAGCGGCACAGGCACGCTGCAGATTTATTTGATAGATATTAATGACAACCCCCCAGTGCTTGTACCAAGGGAGTCTCAGATCTGCGAAAGGATGAACAAGAACGTCAATGGCTTCAACATCACTGCTGCTGATGCTGACACAGACCCCAATGCCGGTCCCTTTGTCTTTGAGCTGCCCAACTTCCCAAGCAGCATCCGACGCAACTGGACCACTACACGAATCAGTGGTGAGTAGCTGTCTGTAAAAGGTTAAAAAAAGAAATACATTTTTAATCATGTTTTTTTAAACCATTCTTGCTAATATATTCCCTTTTGTAAATATTACATATTGCATACAGATAAATGAAACTCAGGAAAATTTAAAACAATTAGATGATTATATAAGTTTGTAATTATACCATATTTATTTTCTTATATTGAAGTACTTGATATGCCCCTTACTAATTTAAGAAAGAAATAACAACAGATTTCAAAGGATTTGTTCATAAAAAGTCTAATCTTCTTGAGATTACTGCAGAAGCTTGGCACACCTTTTGTTTGGAAATGTACCCTCTCTGCCTGGCAGAAACACAGAAACTTAGCCAGATTGGAGCCAGATTGAAGTGCTGGTGCACAGCCATTTTGTCGCTCCAGACGAGCTCTGCGGGGTTCCGTTCAAAACATGTTAATTTACTCTAAAACTTCTACAAAAGTTTTTTTTTTAAACCACAGAATGATGGTGCCATTACCATGTTGGGCAGCTTGCAGACTTTACACATGCACTTTTGAGTTGTTTCGAAGTAGAATATAATTGAAATATTAATAAAACTGTTTTTATGGTTTCCAATTTCATCCGTTAACTAGAAGTATAGACTCCTATTATTGTTACAGATTTTGTCCCATAAATCTTTAACAGACCAGGGTCATGACACAGTCTTGCCCTGCAACTTTCTTATATATTCTCATTATACCACCGATTTTCTTTTCTAAAAAGACCTATGAACCTTTCTTAGTAAATTAGCTTAGGCACAGATGCATTTGTGTCATGCTAGTACATCAAGGGACGTTGACTTACAGTAAATGAAAAATCTCAATTTTAAAACACAAGGAGCTAATCTCATATTTCATTGTGATAAAAAATGTGTAGAGGAAAAATAAACAAGGTTTAGCACTTGGAAAAAACAAATCAAATATTAAGAGCATGTTTTTGTGGGAGTCGTTTCTTGGGGTCAATATTGGGGCCAACCTCTGGAACCTGTTAATCAAAATGAGCACAAAGGCATGTCTTAAAGAAAAATAAACATGTTAATCATCCCCAATACTTTCTGAGAATATGGGCTGTGGAGACAGAAGAACAACCATAGTGAATGTCAATCATTTAAAATGCACTGTTTCCTTTTTTTTCATTTTATATTTCAAAGTAATAAAGGGAGTAAATAAATATAGATTTGAATTATGTTAAAACACTTAAATCAACATGAATCAAAGGTTGAATCACAAAATGTTCATCGTTTAATAATATTGAGCCTGACATGCAGAAAATGAGGATATTTTTAACTAATTTTATTTGAATTCCAACCCGTTACAGCCTCTTTTTGGGCTCATTACAGATCAAGTTAACAATTCTTTATCAGGTAATCTTATACAGGATTGCTCTAACATCAGTTCACATCTGGTTTACGTAGAAATTAAATAATGGAACAGATTTGTTAAAAACTACAGGTCATATGCTAACTTCAGCTTGTTGCAACAGAACCTGCCTGCTGATGTTATGTTGTTCAATTCTAACCTGGGGAACATTAGAAAGGATAGAAATGACTCTTTGACACAGTAAATTAATTCAAACATAAACCTTTCATGTAGAAATGTATTTACCTGCTTAAGTAGTATCCTCTGATTGTAAAATATTGCTTGTGGGGTTTTTAAATTTCCTATTTTTGGGAAATTTGATTGATAGCAGTAGGACGTCCATAAAAACTGCAAGTAACAGGGTTGTTGTTTATATATCCTGGACGTTTTGTTTTTTCTTAATACAGATTGTGTGAAAATAGCACCAGTCAGCGCATTATGGCTATTATTGATTTCCTTTTATATTTCTTGTCTTCCTGAGTTGCCACAGCAACAGCCATTGTGGACTATGCTTCCACTCAGGTCCAGAAATCTATACCTAAGCTTTCATTGTGCTTCCCAATTTTTGTACAAGTGGAATGCAATTGATTTTACCAGATTAAACTTCCTTTACTGACGTTATCTCTTTATTTTGAACATAGTTTAATTTAAAAGCCATATATTTGTAGGAAATCCAGAAAACTAAACTTGTCTAGAAAGGGGTATATTTCATGTTTCTGGTGTCATTTGAATATATTTACATTGCTGAAAATAAATGTATTACAATGTCTTGTTTTTCTTACTTGTAACTGTTAACAGTTTTTTTTTTTAAAACCTATCAATAGTAACATAAGTATTTCTTAACTTTTTTGTCTTCTTTTCCTTGCATAGGTGATTATGCCCGCCTGGCTCTTCGATACCAAGTTTACTTGGAACCAGGAATGTATGAGGTCCCTGTCATTGTGTCAGACTCGGGCAACCCACCGTTGTCCAACAGGTCCATTATCAAAGTGAAGGTGTGTCCCTGCGATGAAAATGGAGACTGCACAACACTCGGTGCCGTTGCAGCCGCTGGCCTTGGAACTGGAGCCATTATCTCCATCCTAATCTGCATCATCATTTTGCTTTGTGAGTGCTCTCTATTAACCAGTATACCTTGCTGTTCCTAAGAAGATCAAAATTTTGATTTAAACTCCTTAAAAATATATATAGATTTTGAGAAAAGATTAACTTTTACCAAAAAATTATACAGCGATGTGGATGCAAATGTTTGAAATATATAATTATCTCAGTCACTGGAACCCCTCAGAGTGGGGGAGTTTTTTGTTTCTTCTCTGGAAGTGTAAATATCTGTGGGCGTCTGTCTTGCCAGTTTTTCATGCCTGTGGATTGTCCTGTACATAGAAAACAAGAAACTTTTTCAAAGGCACTCTTTATTGCGGTTGGATTTTGTTTAGGTTTATTAATTATGAAGCTAAAAGGGTCCTAATATTCACACATACATGACAACATTCATAAATGTATTTCTCTTATATTTGAGAATATTTCTTGATTTAAAAATTACTTGTGATGTGAGAATGTGAATGTTTGAGATTCTCGTGACATGGTCTAATACACATATCACCTGATATTTCTTTTAAGACATGGTCTATTACACAAATAGATGTTTTTGAACAGGAACCAATCAAATATCTCTTGTTTAGTCAAACACAAAAATGTATCCCATGTGGGCGATGATTTACTTGTAAGTCAATGATGTGCATTCACATAGCCATGCAGTATACTGTAGGCATTTAGTGCGGTTGCAGGTGAACTTGTACTGTAAGCCGTTGGGGTTCAAATTGTTGAGACCTTAGCATAGTTTCTGGTAACGACAGTGGAGCAGTAAGTGAAAAATATTCTTTAATATGTTTAGCTAGTTATCTACCTTTTGTAGATTACAGTTTAAACATTTATGTTAATAATTTAATGCTTTTTTAGACAACAAAGCATTACATTTTGTTTTGTTTTGGGTTTTTTTGGCACGGTTAGACCATGTAGAATAATTAGTGTAGTTATCTCTCTTAGCTAGCTTTATCAAGTCAGAAATTTGCCACAAAGCAAATTTATAATATTCAAACAAGCAGTTTGAGTGGATTTGGAACATCTTAGATGCAGATTCAGTACCTTAAGACCCCAGTAAATTACACACACCATTGCATGCTGGCCCAAGATGCATACCCTGTGGAGGTATGCATCTTGGGCCAGCATGCATGTATTAATCACTTGTGTGTATTTATTGATATTAAGGGTCTTTTAGCACCATAGCATTCTGCTTGTACAAAATGATAACTAGTGATAAAGCAGATGTCCAAATATTGAAACGTTTACAGCATACAGTGGTTTGTAGACAGTTGGCCAATTTAACATTCTGAAACTTGAAGACTTCTTTGAATAGTCCTTTCATGATTCCAGATTGATGTAAATTAAACACTGTAAATGCTGAAGCATTTATTAACTTGTTATTAACGCGCATGATTTATGCTCCTTATATTTCGGTTAGTTTTTGGCTTACTTTTAGTGGGCACAGCTAACCAAGAATTTAAAATCTGATGTTATGCTACCTAAAATATTGACCTTACTACCAATGAAGAGCTAAAAACATAATGTAATCAGATGCCAGTTGTTAAGATAACTGTCACTTGGAGTTACCAGATCTGACTTTTTTATGCTTAAATGCAAAGGCTAAAATAAAACTAGCCCAAATCGCAACTTAAGTTAAACTAATCAGATATAAACCTGAACTTTATCCACTATCAGATGATCCTTGCTCACCGAACTCCCCTCTCAGTCATACGCACATTTGCACAAACACAGTGTAACTCAATCGGACTATCTCCCTTTGATGCACAGGCAAGAAACAGTTTTCAGCTAATCAGCTATAAGTGAACAGCCCACACTGTAAAAAGAATAATGAAGTCATCTTGTCCTTGTTTTGCGTATCAAGCCATTAAATGCATTATGAGACGTGCAATATTCTGCTATCCTTTTGTCCACTATTGGTTTCCAGACTCTAAGTCAACTGTGACTCCCCAGCAGGACTGAGGAGAGCTCTCCTCAATATTTAATTCATTCTGAGCCAAACAGAAGCTTTGTTTTCATCTTTTATAACTGAGGAATAAGTGAACACAGTTAGAAGCTGTCTTCAGACAGCTGCTATTGCTCCTCCAGAGACGAGCACCAGTGCCAACCCTTCAGCGAGGAAAGTTGCTATTTGCTGACATAGGTCACTATACTGTAAGTCACTAGAATACTGTAAGTCATCACCTGATATTTCTTTTAAGAGATATTGTTCATTAGCTTTAAAAATATTTCATGAAGCAGGGATTAGTCATAAAAAAGTGTTTAAATTTTAAAGTGCTTTTAGCACCTTAACAAGATTAACCTAGTTAACCTTAATGGCAGCAAACAATAGTATTTGTATTCTCTAAAGCAGGGGTCACCAACCTTCTTAAAACTGAGAGCTACTTCATGTCTACTGCATCATAGGAAGGGCTACCAATGCTGACCTATGAACTGGAGAAGTTAAAATTCACCTAAACTTCATACAAATACAGATATTTTTACCATTTCTTTTTATCTCTAGTTTTCTTTTGGATTTTGTCATTTAAAATCTCTGTTAATGGTTAAATGCTCTATTAATGATTAAAAAAGAAGAGCAACAGAATAAAATAAAGTTTTAAACTTTGCCCACTGCTCAGTTGTTCTATTTTCAGAAGGTGCTGTGGGGACCCCATATGGTCCTAAAGGGCCACTTGGGGCCCGCAGTTGGGTCCCCTTACATAGAGAATGTAGACAATTATCTCAACTCTGAGATTTACCAACAACTGTCCGAATTGTTAGAGCCATATTTTCCATCATAGGCAAAGATCCAAAGCTCAAATGATCAAACTGAGAATCCTTGCCTTTTCTTCAGCCTTTCATTGATCTGCTAAGTTACTTTTTCTCCTATTCGAGCCAACCGACCAAGAGTACAAAATGATAAAGGAACAAAACAACTAGCTCTAGCTCTCTATAGCAACCAAAATAAACTAGCATTATCCCTTCACAGTAAAAGGTGTCTTCTCTACAATTTGGATAAATATAACATTGAAAATTAATATGTTCCAGTTCCCACCTTTGTCAGAGTAAATCAAGCTAAAACTCATGCTCGCCCCAAATCAACTATAAAATATTAATATTACATAGTTAAGCCATGTCTTGCGCCATATCCACTAGGATCTAAAGTGTGCTGAAAGTTATTTAAGAAGCTTCTTTTTAAGAAATTCTACCTTCTGAGATACAATCACATCCAAGGATTTTTGGAGGAAAACATGCTGAAGCACTAGACATAAGGTCGTTATTGGAAATTTAGACTATTCTCGTTATTTCAAATGTCAGGGTGCCCCTGCTGAAGTGCGAAAGTAAACATTGTTCCCAGTCAATAGAAAGTTGTGCTGTATTCTAACTGCTTAACAGATGACGTGTTGATCCAGTGAGGCTTCAAGTTGTGCACACTGAAATGAAATAAAAATGTAATTATACAGCCATCTTAATTTTCTTTCGTTTCGTTTTTTGTAACCTGTCTTCAGCTTTACATACTGCCATGCCTTAGTGCCCTTTATAGATCCCTAAGCAGGCCTCACTTTAACTTTTGGATTTATTGTGTATTAATGAAACTCTACCTACAGCTGTATATGTTTCCTGTATGCATTATTGCAGGCATGGTGCTGTTGTTTGTGGTGTGGATCAAGCGCAGGGAGAAGGAAAGGCAGACAAAGCAGTTGCTGATTGACCCTGAAGATGACGTCCGTGACAACATCCTCAAATACGATGAAGAGGGGGGAGGCGAAGAGGATCAAGTGAGCGTTGGAGAGAGACACACACCACACATATATGATGTGATGTCTGTTTTGATGCTTACCCTGCTTATATGTCTGTGCCTCTGGGACTGTGCAGGACTATGATTTGAGCCAACTGCAGCAGCCAGACTCTTTAGAACACATCATCACCAAGCCGCCGGGCATACGCAGAGTTGACGAGAGACCCATTATCCCAGAGTCACAGTACCCGATCAGACCAGTTGTTCCCCATCCTGGAGATATTGGGGACTTCATCCATGAGGTGAATTTAAAAGCACATCTATATCTTGCATGGACAAAATTTGAGTAATTTAGTTGTTTTTTGTGCAAGGAGCTGGCTTCTCAGTAATGTTTCAGGGATTTGTAGATTTTGCCAATTTTTCGGAATGAGTACAGCAACAACTAGTTTTCCTTAACTGATCAGCCACCCCACCCTCCAAACACTCACAAATATTTACTGTCGCAAACACAGGAAACTCTGATGCTGGCACATTTATTCGAGAAAATGCTGATTGACAGACTCGTGACAACGCATTCACACTTGAGAGGTGTTGGCAGCTGTTCGGCTTTGATCCAGCCAGCCTTGACTCTCTGTCTGTCTGTCTCTGTCTCATACACATAAACTCACCTGATCTCGCTCCACCAGTCCGATTAAACTCAAACACTGCAAACACATGGTGTTTTTACTACATTCTGAAACCACAAGGGTTTTGGCATTTTACATTCTTCTCATAATTTCTCACAAATTTGCAAGGTCTGTTCTCCTTACCTACCTCAATATAAAGTCTTTGACCACAATGTTCTATTGTTTGAAACAAGTGTAGTTTTGAAAAGAAAGTAAATTATTTGTAGAAATAACTAAATATGAGTTACATATGATAAAACAAAGAAAATGATATCTGGCTTTAAAATGTCTATATACTATTGAAACCATTTCTTATTTGAAATGCTTTATTTTTAAATGCTTTCAGTCACTTTAGTTTATATTACTTTATATTTTATAGGATTTTCAGTGAATGTTGAACCAAATGTATTGTTAGTATTGTTAGTTCTAATATGCAGCTTAGATTTTTAATTAGATTTAGGTCTGTATGGAGGTATTGGGATTTAAACCAGTGGTTTTGCACCCTGCTCTTCAGGGACCCCTGTTGTGCATGTTATAGGTGTCTCCTTGCCACCTCACACCTGACTTATATGAATGGGTGATTAACAGGCTTCTGTGGCACTTTACATCTGCTGAGGAGGTCACACAACCATTTGAATCAGGTGTGCTGCGATATAAATGCATCTAAAACCTGTGGGGAAGGAGCTTCAGGGTTGGGAACCACTGATCTAAACTGTTCCATTGTATGGCTTGGGTTGTTATCCTGCTGGTTCTGTGTCTAAATTTCTGCCCCAGTTCAATTCTTGTCTGGTTTTTAGCTTAACATTTATCCTGACAGTTCTGAAAAACTTTCCTCTGTATGCTTAGGAGGGAAATTATTTCAGCATCACAATGCTGCCTCTACTCATTACTGAATTTCTTTCAGAAATGGCTGCTTTTTGCCTCTGTTCCATAAAAGGTAAATTTATAGAGCTTTAGACTAATTGAGCTGCAGATCCTTTTAGATCAACCTCTTGGCTGCTTCTTCAACTAACTTCCTTCTTTCCCAACCTGTCAGCTGTCTTAGTAGATTTGCTGTTGTTGCAAACTTACAATTGTTGAATGATAAATTAAACATTGCTTTGTTAGATGTCAGAGCTCAGTACATTCATAACCAAAGCCCTCTTTGAACTTCAAAACACCTGTCTAGCATGTTTCTTGATCTTTATCAGACTGTTTGTTCATTAATGTTCTCTAACATCTAAGACTTTCACAGAACCGCTGAATTTATATAGATAGTACATTTGATTTAGATGGACTCCGTTTACCTAGTTGGTCAAATATTGAACAGTGAGCTTTGGCATGTTAAAAAAGTATTTGCTTGTGACCAATTTGTACCCTTTACCATGAAAACAGCCCAAAACTGGAGGGGTTGTATGAGAAAAAGCCTCTCCTGCCTGAAATAAAGTTTTGATCAGCTATTTCTTAACTAAAAACCCATCCCCAGAGTCCATTAAAAAGATCCCAGCTTAAACTTTTCTTAATTTTTACACCAAGCTCACCAAAAGCTGAATCTTTGACTTGAAAACTTGTCATCTCAGAAAAATTTTGGTTGGTAGCTGGAGACTGAAAAGCTGGAGGAGGGAATTATTAAAAAGTTTAGTATAGCTGCTATTGCATCAATCCTTCTAGTCATAGGTCTTACAGTGTGTCTGTCTTTTTTACGAGCTTTGGCAATCAGAAACTTCAAGCATCCCATTTTTCCTGCATTCCATATTAATTAACACAACTGGAAAAACCCTTCCTCTTCTACAAAGTGCTCACTGTTCTCAACAGTTTTTCCCTGCAGCACATTTTATTTGCAGCCGTTTCATTCCCAAACTGAATTGCTTCCCAAACAATCCTGTGGCATTAAATTGTGGTACAATTGTGAATACATTGGCTACTGCAAGACTTACATGATTGATTTAATACTCACCCTTCACATTTTGCAGTGTGACTGGAAAAAACTGTGAAACACACAGCTCTCCTGTCTAATATCCCCAGGGTGTTAGATAAAGGCATGCTTTATTATCTGTCTTTAACTGTCCTTTGCCGGGCTACTCACCATATGGCCATGTTTGCGTCCATGGGATACAACTTTATGTTAATGGATAATGATCAGCAGATTTGACAGTTCATTAAACATCAAATTGCACAAATTAAAATTACTCAAATAAATTTGCTTAATGGAGACACTGCTATTTTGAATGAAGTTTTTTAAGGATTCGATGGGGTGCTTTTTTGGTCCCATTGAAAATATTATATTTTGCAAAACTGCAATCAACACACTTTTTTGCATCACATAATTTAGGTGATCTGTAACTGGACCTTACTCGCTTGTAAAAAGATTAATAAAAAAGACTGCGAGTAGTTAGAGGCGCCACATATTTGGATTAATGAAGAGACTATTTTTTACACTTAGTTTGTGACGGTGAGCTGTGGCTGAAATGTGGATTTATCTCATGTATTTACATCCTCGTGTTGTTTTCAAGAGTTATCAAATTAACAAACATGATTACATGCAGGAGCCTTTTAACCAGTATTTCTTTTTTTTTTTTTTTTGGCGGGAGGACTAATCACTGCGACACCGAAGCACGACCAGTTTTTCTCATTTTTATGTGTATTTATATCAGCTGTCTGAAATTCTTCTGAAACATTCAGATGTGTTTCCGACTCAACTTATGTCACTCAAATATTAGTTGAGTAGAGTTTGACTGCATGCTAGTTAGCTAGATTAGCCATTTGATTCGGGTATGGACCTGGCAGGACGCTGGTCCTCAACGATTGGAGTTCAATACCACTGCATTATATCAACTGTAAAACTAGTTAATTGACCTCTCTTTGTTTTTGTTTGTTTTTTTCTCTCTGTGTTTTAAGGGTCTGCGGGCTGCAGACAATGACCCCACAGCCCCACCGTATGATTCCCTGCTCGTCTTCGACTATGAGGGCAGTGGCTCCACCGCCGGCTCAGTCAGCTCCCTCAACTCTTCCAGCACAGGAGATCAGGACTATGACTACCTCAACGAATGGGGACCGCGCTTCAAGAAGTTGGCCGACATGTACGGGGGCGGGGATGATTAATAAATGATCTTGGCCCGTCCTGCACATGCGCACACACACGCACCCTCGACCCATCAGCTGGCCTGCCAAGCTCTGTCTCCATAACAGAATGGGGCAATTGAACCCTACTTGAACACAAATTAAGGATGACATATTCATACGGACCAACCAAACAATTTAGTAGCCGCAACAGAGGACCAGTGTCGTAAGTCCCTTCCAGGAGCTCTTCTTTACCTGCTCCTGCTCTAAGCCTGTCCAAGACTGTAATGGAAGCTCTTATTTGCAGGCTTTGTGTGAGTTTTACTTTCAAACACATGTACTTCTGTTACACCTTAGTTTTGTTTTTTTGTTGTTGTAGACTTCAGTTACTGTGTTTTAGGTTTCTATTGCTTTTTCCTGTTCTCAGTCACATTTAATTCAGAAATACCCCTTTCCTGAGAGATTCCACTTTTCCCTCACTGTAAGCCCCCCCTGCCTGCATCTTTGAAGGAGCTTTAGGTTTTAGATAGATGCTTTATCTGAGGCAAACAAAAGGGAAAAGAAGGTAACCCAGATATGAAGTTGTCTTTTCTTGGAGGGCCCTGATTCATTCTTTCCACAACTTGAATTACTTAGAACAGAAGCACTGTTGTTTAAAAAGTGCCTTCACTGGTGCGTTCTTTTAGCAAACTTCAGCTTACTCAGGATTGGTTGCCATTCTCTGGGCTTGCAGGCCCCGACATGACCCCAGACCCTTTAATTCAGACCTCCCTTGTTATTTCTCCTGTCCGGCAGGGCCGTTACATCCGGAGGAGATCTCAGTGCTGGTTTCAGAGGAGCAGCGACTGGTTTCAGAGAGCGGTTCATGTAGACGTACATAGGCCTACAGTGTGTCTCTGGGTGATGGACTAATCATCAGATTTTTGGAAAGTCAGACGTACTGTGCTCCTAGATCACAGTTTGCTGGAATGTGACTGCTGAAATCGCAGAAACAGACTGTCTTAGATGAAAAAATGCATTGTGTGTTGGTTACTTGTAGCAACAGCAGCTGTGTTTGTTTTGAGATACTGAGTGTTTGAGGGACTTGGCTCGTTACTAAATATGGCTGACAAGTAAATGTACTTATGGAGATTACTTAAGAGTCTGGCTTTAAGATCATCCAACATTTGTATATTAAATATTTGGGTCAAATGTGTTTAAATTTGAAAATGAGGAAGGATAAACAATCAATAACATATATTACTAAAGGAACAACACAGATATGCAAATTTGTTTTCTAGCTGTGGGTTGAATCATTCGCTCCTCTAGCCTTCAATATTATTTTAGTCAGTCCAGTTCCTTTATCCTTTAACTTTTGAGATACAATTTATGATTCTAGACAGAGCAACATACATTAGAGGTGCACAGAAATAGATTCCAGTTTTATTTAGTGCTTCTAACTTGTGAGCAGTAGGTCAGAACTCACAAAAATCTGTCATTTTAGGTATAATTCACCATTGGTCACAAGTTGGTGGGTCTAACTTGTGAGCACTAGGTTATTGCATCCAGTGAATGCACCATACAAGTCATAGAAGTGGCAACACTTAAATATGAAAGTTGTTACTGTGGGAAGAATATGCAAAGTTAACCTTTTAGTTAGCTATTTAGAATTTTTTATGTTGGATTAAAGGATGAAGGACATGAAAAGAACATGTTGAGTGGGAAGATCAGTGAATCTTGTCAACAGCAAACACCCTTTAAAAACTGCCCAAATAATTCTTATTCTAATAAATGTAAAAATAATGAATGTCAGTATTACGTAGCACAATCAAATATTATGACAGCAAAATAGTTAAGATAAATTATTTTAGTATCAAAGGCAGTCATGTTAAAAAATAAAGAAATTATAATGTAGTTATACAGTAAGAATAGTTGTTTTTTTTTTCACGAGCTGTAGCGTCAAAAAGTCATCTCTATGGTTACGGTTACACTGCAGGTCTTGATGCTCAATTCAGATATTTTTGTGAAATCCAATTTCTTTGCACGATTGTTCACGTTTCCAAATAAATGCAACCTGTATGTATGTGTGTCACTTGGCTATGTGGTACTGGTTGTTTTTCTTCCTGCTTCTGTGTAGCCAGATGCAAGTATAACTGACATTCAAGTCGGATTAATGCGACCTGGCTTTTCAGAGTACAAATTCAGGTCACATTTGAAAACATCCGATTTATATCAGATTCAGCACCACAGAGCCAAGTGGCCTGGAACAAATCAGATCTGCGTTGTCATGAAAAGATCAGATACAGGTCGCATATGACCAAAAAAGTCAGATTTGGGTCACTTGGCTATGTGGTCCTGAATCCAATACGTTTCTGATCTTTTCAAATGCGACCTGTGTCTGAACGGTGAGGTCGCTTTCATCCGACCTGTACACAATTAATACTCTTTATTTTTAACCATCTTGAAAAGATTGAGTTTATAAGGTTGGGAAAGATCACTAGATGCGCTCCCGCACTACCATCCATGTTAACACAGAGCATGCTTTCTTGTGACGTCATTGTGTCCTCTACTGCGCATGCTGGACAGTTGAAGTTCAAAAAGAAAGGATTCATCTAGAGCAATTTTATTGTGTGGCTTGTCTAAATTGCGCTAAAAATGCTCCAAGTAATAAAAATCAAGAGAATTTCACAGTATGCTGGGCGCCTCTAGCGCCTTTAGAGCAGTCACATGACAAAACACAGCTGTGACGTCAGTGTAGTCAAACGTCTTAGGGCGGGTGTATAGAACAACTACTTCACGCATTGTTAAGCACAGTGAAAGGATCATTAAAACGTCGTTACAATGATCTTTTGTACTGCTGGTAATTGTAGGAATGGCTTTGGATCGGGAAAAATAATGTTTAATTATCAGAAGGACCCGGTTTTGCGTCAAATTTGGTTCCGGAAAGTAAATAGATAAGACAAAAATCAATCTGTGGCATCCAAACTGATACAGCAAACTATTTTCAGATCACATCACGGCAGATTCTTTTATCATCAATCCTGCTCTCACAGCATCAGTTGGATTTAATATACCAAAGTATCCATGGCATGTTTTCTCTGTTGTATAGCTTTAATAAAGTGCCTGATGGCAATAAAGCTGATTTAAAGCATTGTTTTTTTTTTTTTCATAAAACAACAGACCCTAGCTAGTTGCACAGTTTAGTATAGCCGCAGCTTTAGACAGATTTCCATATCATTATGGGCCGTGCTCCAGAACAACAACCGCAATGGATAACATTCAGTTACCGCAGGCAGAGACCCACAGCTCGAACCCCACGCCCGGAGCGATGAGTCGAACGGGTAAAAACCACATCCGAAGGACAATGTTAGCCACCCACACAGCAGAAAGGAAAGGGTTCTTGGACCGCTCGCTGCAATCGGATTACCGAGGGACCGCTTTCCCCATCCAGGCACAGCAGCGGAGCACAGCCTGCTTTCCAGAACAGCCAGAACCGCACAGAGGGCTCAAACACTGACCGCCAGCCTTCACGCCCGGCCGCAGAAGCACGATGCCAAACGAAACAAACCTGGTCACCACAGAACCAATCCAAATCCTGTGATTCCCTCTTCAAACAAAAGGTTAGACTCTGGTTTAAACTAAAAAGCACAGTCCTATCTGGAAAATGTTCTGAAAGATAATGAACTTCTTCCACAAGCTCTGCATAAGATCAAAGAACATTTAGCAGCGGTGATTAATCCAGTGAGTTTCATATTCAAATTGTTAAAAACTCGATCACAAAGGTGAATAAGCATTGACCTGCTGTGTAAAATGACCACTTCCTGACTAAACTGACGTCATGGCATCCTACAGTGTCTCAGTGGGTCACGTGACCGAATGAGGAATTTAGCGTTGTCTGCTATCGTGAATCATTTTATGCTATAAACAACAAAATGCTGGATTTCTTTTTTTTTTTGTGATTTATTTAATTTTGTACATACTATCAAATGAGAGCTATATGCATGTGTTTTCTAGTTGAACTTTAAGCTGTATGAATGCATTTCACTCAGGAGATCACATACAAGTTGCATATATTTGGAAATGTGAACAGCAACGCAAAAAAAAAAAAAAGAATCGGATTTCAAAAACAAATAGGAAATGAGCATTAAGGCCTGAAGTGTGAACGTAGCCTTAGTCATGCATTTGTTCTGTCCAGCCACTGAACGAGGTGAGTCCAATCTGCAAAGTGAATTCAATTGTGAAGATTGGACTCACCGGGTTCAGTGGCTGGGCAGAACACATGCATGCCATGGAGAAGACTTGATGACTCCACATCTCCCACCTCTGGCACAAGCTACATTAGCTTAGCTTATATACTTAGTTTTGGTTTTATCTTGAAGCCAATAGTGGCATGTTTATGTATGTTCCGTAATCAATCACACTGCCAGTCACCAGAATGTTTTTATTCACATAAAGATTTTAGATTTCTTTTAAAACATCTACTCTATGCGTCATGCGCAGATACCGGTAACTTTAATCGTAAACAGAATTATTTTAAAGAACTTTTAAAAATGTCAACTCTCTTTTAAGTTTTTCTTTGTTTTAAAATTGCAAAACACCAATCACACAGTGTGATGCATCTGTTGTTCCTATTTATAATGTATGCAGTTGTAATAGGCTTAAAAAATCAATACTGTAAGTGATAGCTTCTTAAAAGAAACCAGACATGACCTGCATATATCTGCTGACCTAAATCTGCAAAAGATAAATAAATCTGATGCATCCATATTAACACTGGTGGGAAAAAGCCACAGTAAGGAGCTTAATACAGTCTCAAACTAGCCCTCTCTAGGCTGTGATCCATTCATTAGAAAGTTTTTCTCAAAAAGCCTGACATCTAAGAAAGGTAGGCTCATGTAAATTGAATGTTCCTTAATTATTAGATCCCCCTTAATTAATTTTCTGCCTGAATTGAAGCTTTTAAAAAAGAAATAACACATCAGGAACTGCTGAAGGTCAGCTAAACATAGTCTGCTCATCAAGTTATTTGAATGTGCAAACTATCTTACAAAGCTACAGTAAGTAATTAATAACAGAAATTAATGAGAACATCATTTATTCAGATACTGGTAGATTTGTACTGACTTTTAATTATAACACAAGGTCTGTAAGGGAAAGATCAGTTACTTTATCAAACTTTTCTTAACTTAACCTTAAGACATAGAATACAATAAAACTACTCTGTTTTGAAAAAAAAAAGACAAGCAAGTTGGCATGTTTTTTAACAATATAATATCATGGTTTCACTGTATCTTCATTAACACAAAAGATTAAAACCAAATAACATAACGTGATCTAATTGCTTTTATTTGAACAATTAAAGCAACTAAGATTACTATGGCTGCCAAAAAAACAAATATTATTTGTTATATTTATGGTATCTATACCATACTTTATTCAAATCCATAGATTTGTTAAAGTGGCCGCACCCTGTTAAAAATGTTTGTAGGCATTAAATAATTTTTGCAACATTACATAGGTAAAATATTAATGCTACAGAATATGACCCACTGTTCATTTATATATATTAGCTTAAGTATAACAGGTAAGCTAACAGCTTCTTTTGCTGAACTCTATCCTTGGTTAAAGCATTCAATTTAGACTAGGGAAAAGTATAGTTGGTTTTATTCAGATGGGTAACAAGCAATGCACAGCAACAGGTGGGGGAAGGAAAGTGCTCCATTCACTGATCCTATCCTATCCAATCTCACTCAAAAGAAAGTAGAAAAGTGATGACAGATCATTTACGCATCTTCAAAACCATTGCTCTGTAAAATCCTGGCACATTTTTATACCGCTTAGCATCATATAATCAAAAATATGAAGAAAGAGTGAAAATAACAGGTGAGAAAAAAAAATATAGAAGTATATAGAAATTGGAGAGTGTTATTTGCCTATACAAAAAAGAAACAAAACCAATCAAGTGTTAATAACAAGGTGAAGAGGTTCACTTTAGTTCAGTTCAGATTGATAAGTATTAATTGCTATTTATGGAACCAAGAAGTGGTGATGAACAGGATAGCTGGTGGTGCAGATATGAGAACAGAGAGAGAGGTTTCCACAGCTCACTGCTAGATAAGCTCTAATCTGTGCTTGCCTCTCAGTCTGAAGTATATCCTCACAAAATAAACACAGCTGTTAGTTCATATTTGTGATTCTTTCTGACATTTAAATGTTGTACATATAGAGTCTTTTTTATACATGTGGTGACATTACATTTTCTTTACTCCCCCCCCCCACTATTGTTTGGTTTCAAATAAATACTTGGCATATATTTCACAAAAAGCAATGTGCATTTACTGGAATTTGTATAAATATGTACGGGCAGACGACCATACTTGTATCTCTTCATCATGGCGAGAGGGTTCCACTCCAAACCAACCTGTACAGTACTCACTCCTCTAGGCCTTACTGTATATATATATGAGAGTGTTCTATATTATAGGAAAATATTCTGTATTGTTTTAATTTGTCTCAAAAGCAGCACGAAGACTGATGGCCATTCTTTCTCCAAAGAATGAAGAAATGTATAGCTGATGTATGATTAGACTGTCAAATTAGATTTGGGGTCAAACAGAAAGTGGTAACCAACCTTTTTGAACCCTGTTGCATATGACAAATTATGACAAAGGCACTGAATGTTTTCAGGCTCTGTAACGCTTGGCATTAGGGAAGAGTGCATCAAAAGTAACTTGACCCCATTGATCTTCAAAATATGAGGCAAAATAAGAAAAGTTTGTTTGTTTTTTACTTACAATGTTGATTTATTGCAGTGACATTCTCTTGCTATTGAAAGGGGAGAATTCACAAATGAAAACCAAGAAAGAACAATCGCACTGCCAAAGTTCTTACTTAAGTTATGCTTGATGTTTGGAGTTACTCGTAGAAGACGGCGCCATTGCTGGTTGTTGCGGACTCTACAACCATGGACACAGACCTGAAGGGAGATCCCAAAAGATGCCAAACTTTTGTTCTGCTATGACCTGAATCCTAAATATTGGCAGGATTTCATATGAAATCTAGTATTTAGGTCCAAGTGTACATGATGTAATATTTGCTTGAAGTTAAACAGACCATGTTAGGCAAGCTGTAACTGTAAAATTGAAGCTTTTTTGCATGTGTCTTTTTTATAATGAGCAGATGAGTTCTACTTCACTAAACATGTAACAATTCAAAAACTGTGCAGCTTGCATGACGGAGTGTGGATTCCAGATGGGACTCTGGTGTATGCATACAAAAAAAGATGAAAAAAGATATTGCACAGGTATTTAATCAAAAACTTCTTTTGTAAATTGCCAACAGCACAAATATTTTATATTGTTGTTTGTACCTTTTTTTTAGAAAAAATCGAAAAAAAGGGAAAGAGCCTGTTATTTCAAAAGTGTGTTTATAGTGCCACTACAACCTTGGTTTCCAGAATTACCATACAGTACATGCACAGCCTTGCAGATGAACTTGTAATATAGGCGCTGAGCCAGAGATTTCCTGTCAGCATAATGTGTTATAAATAAAAAAATTTCCCTCCTTGTGAGAATACATCTTCTCTTTTCTGTCGCCTGCTGCTTCTTGCAAGCACAGCATTTTGTCCAACTCGTTTGGCTACTGAAATGAAATGTAATGCTGAGCCCTTTGCTAAAATTTAATTCACAATGTTGGCAAAAAGTTAAATGTAATGTTTCATAACCCTTAGGGAATTTTGCATTTTTCCCATATTAAAATCACATAATTCAATAATATTTAATTGAGATAATTTGTGACAGGCCAACACAAAAAAGATAAGTGTGAAAAATTTTGATGTAAATTTATTTAAATTCCAAAACTGTAAACAAAATATGCTGGAGCCTTTTTCATACGTAATTTGTTCCATAATTAACAACTAACAGCCTTTTTGAATTTTATCATAGATATTGCTATAGACAAGTTTAACGAGTATTTCCACTTTACTTTCACCATCAAGCTGATTCTGTTACTTATTTTCGGTTGAATAGTTTATATTGGATCGCAATGGATGTAAATTGAGTACATTAGCATTTATTTTCGGATAAAAGAAGGTGGCTTATCAATTCATCTCCCTGTAATAATATCAAACTGGGAGGATAATATGATGATATGTCCTAATGTTACATCCAGCAAATCTGAAAAGCTAAGAAACTCATGAATACTTACATAAGCCCCATTTACACCACCCTCTGAAAACTGATCCGTGCCAAGTTCTGACCGAGCTTGGATCCGTTCACCGTGCTGAGCTCGGTTCCTTGCAACTATTTACACACCACACTAGCACGGTTCCTCCTAGTGAAGATCTATGGTACTACAGCTCTAGGGTAGCAGCCATTCAAAATGGGCTCTCCCAATCAAAAACCAGCCGAACGGCTGCAAAATCCCCTCCAACTTCCAGCCACTAGCCTTCTCATGGGCATGCATATATTTTTAATCTGACTCCATCCTTTCTCTGAACAGGGTCTGACCAGGAGATAGCGCTTCTCTTTAGATCTTTATGTCCACAAATCATGACAGAAAGAATAGTTTAGATGTTTAAAAAGGAATTGTAGGGCACTAACCAAGGTTCCATCAAGAAAAGTGGGGAAATTTTGAATGGCTGCTGCTGTAAGTCTAGAGGGAAACAAGTAAATCAACATGGCAGCACCCGCAACATTCAGAAAGTTTGGTTATAATTTGGATATTAAAGAAGGGGGCTTTTTTTTTATTTACTTGAGTCTGCTTCTTTGAGATGACAAAGGATGACAATGACCAGATGACGCAGTCTGCTCATGTGTTCTTTGTTATCTGAGAACCGTGCCAGAACTAAACTGCGCCGAGCCCTACAGTTGAACTTGTACTAGTTAAGCGCGGTTCGGTTGTGTCTGGCATGGTCTGCTTCATTTTTGCATGCTATTTACACTCAACAGTTATCTTGCTCGGACTGATCCTGGCACATTTTCAAAAGGGTAGTGTAAATGGGACTATAGCGACAAAGTAACCTGTTTGCTGATAAAAAAAATTTGAAAATTTAGTGTACATGAAGGAAGATGTTCAACCAAGTTAGAATGTCTAAATAATCTGTGCCATATCACTGAAGTGGCGGACATTTAGGAACCAATCAGTCATGTAGCCAAACAGCTGTCGTCTTATCACCACAGAGTCCGGCCCTATCACTCCAACTCAATTCAGAAATCTAATGATACTAGTCATTTTACCCTCTGTAACACTTTTGCCTTGCACCAAAAGGCTGTGGATTTGATTCTCACCCTAGGCCAGGCATGCCCAAAGTCGGTCCTCGAGGGCCGCTGTCCTGCAGGTTTTAGAGGTTTCTCTGCTTTAGCACAGCTGAGTCTGATGATTGCATTTCAGCAAAAGCCTGTTAATCAGCAATCAATGTAAATCAGCTGTGCTGAAGCAGGGAAACCTCTAAAACCTGCAGGACAGCGGCCCTCGAGGACCGACTTTGGGCATGCCAGCCTTAGACTCTTTCTGCATGTTCTCCCCGTGCATGTGTGGGTTCTTGCCAAGTCTTCCCGCTTCCTCTCACAGTAAAAAATCATGACATTGCAAATGTGCACAAAACGATGTTGATGTTCTGTTAATATAAAAAATGTTTTGCAATTGAGCCATTTTCTTTAAATAACAAATATAATGAAATTGCATGTGGATACAAGTGAAATACAAGTGATACAATACATATGAAATGTCTTATCAACAAGGAATAACCAATGGGTCATTTTTTGTACTTAAAACTAATACGTTTGTGGTGATTTAATGAATTTAGCATTAATCCGTAACAGAAAACCAAATAATATTTCTCGTTGCAATCACTGAGTCTGGGAATGGCCATTTTTGCCCAAATATAGTAACACCTCACTCCTCACATCTTCCAGCAGTGACGTCACGGTAAGCCTAGCATCATTCTCCCCACTTTACAAGCAAAATCAATGGTAGCTACTACACACCCCAGAAATAAAAAAAAAACAATTATTTAAGATTTCAAGAGGACTTTACTATGGGGCCAGATCTGTCTCAATTTTCACAAATACATATATGTGATTCATACAGTACATGCACAGGACAAGATCCACGTGCACAGCACGATTCACGCGAGCACAAAGAAAACACACACACAGAGGACAAGAACAAGAGATGTACACAATGATTGATGCAAGCACAAAAGATCCAGACACAGAACAAGATTCACCAAAGTATTTCTGGTCCATAAACAATTATAAATTAAATTACAAAGAAGCAGTGGTCTTTAAACTTCACTGCATTTGTGTGTGGATTTTTGAGACTCCCTTTGAGACTGCCCTGACGTGCCTTGATACAAAAATGCATTTTTTTTAAACAGGGGATGGTTTGCCACCAATCACAAAGCTCCCTTGTATAAGCCAATTCCAAGCACGTGGAAGGAAACCTCTAGATCCCAAATCCTCCGAATCCGCTCTGTTCCAGACTGCCTGCGCAAATCAGAGCCTACATCCTCCATGGTTCCTCCTGTCCTGCTCCGCTCCGACTTCCTCGGAGCCCGAGGAGAGCATCCGCTATATTATTATTTACCTCATAGGAGAAAAACATGCATTAATGAACACTTAATTTAAAATGACATAATTAAATCTCACCATCAGCATAAATCACATGTTTCTGGCCAAACATTTTCTTTTCATTGTGGGTCTTTGTAATAGGAATAATCATACAAAATTGGTTTGTTCTCTACTTTCAAACTCAGCATCTCTTCACCCATGACTGCAATAAGTACTTTGTTTTGAAGTTATGAGAGGCACTCTTGGAAGCTGTTGTGGCTGCATTTGATTAAAATTTTAAGCCTCTATTATTAAGGTTATTTTGTTTCAAAACTATTGTGCATTTTAAGTGTGAATTTGAAGTTGTAGAGAGTTACATTCTAAGTTTTATATTTCTAGAATAAAAAAAAAATCACAAGTACAACATTTCTTTACTATTGTTTTAACTTTAAGTAGAAGTACACAAATTCTGTTCTACAAGAAGCAAATCAAAAACCCTTGTATTTTGCTCCAAATGGTCCAGATATTTTGTTGCAAAACCATATGTGCATTGTAAGTTTGGTGTTTTGTAATTGTAGATTTTTTTTTTAATCTGTAATAATTATAAAATAAAGTTATACCTCTTCAAATTCTGAAGTACAAGTACACAAATTGTGTTCTTTGAGTTGCAAATCAAAAATGTTCCATTCAGTTTTGCTACAGATTTTAAACAAATGGTGTAAAACAAATTCAAACACGTGTATTAAAATCTTAAAAAAACACATAAATTATATATTTTTTCCTTAACACAAATAAAAATCAATGAATACAACTACACGAACCTGCTGCTGTAAGTTACAAATTCAACTTTACAAGTTATGCCTTCATTTTCACTTTTGAACAGAACAGAATTTGTACACTTGTACTTAAAAATTTAACGGTGTAAAACAAAATGTGTTCTTTTTTTGCCCAAATAGGTTCTTAATTCCAGACTGTAAATCATCAACAAGAGGCCTGCAGGACTTCATTTCCAACTTGATTTTGTTGAGCTTAATCTGCAGCAGGTTAATTGTAGGAAGTATTTGTGCATTGTTGTCTGCTTGCAGTATGTTGGTTGCCTGGACGACAGGGCTCATTACAGCAGCATACTCCGTGAAAAATGCATGTTTGGCAGAGTTGAACCTGTGTTTACAAAATAAGGAATAAACATCTGGGTTTTTGTTAGGTGGAATCAAGTATAAAACTGAATAGAAAATTGACATTTCTGATAGATTTCTAGTGATTTTTGTTTAAAATAGACACTGTTATTCACAATGACATTTGTTTATCTCCAGCTGTTCCAACTTTACTTATTTTATCTTTACAAATCCTTAATAGGGCATTCCCCGGCCATGAACAATGAGTTCCACCTTGTTTTATTTGGCCTTAGAAGTTGAAGAGAACAGACATCCTCGACCATCTCTGCTGCAAGTGTGGATCTGCCACATTTGTTCCACAAGCCATAATACTGGGCAAACATTGCATGGTGCAGCTTCTTGTACCAGTCACTGGATTTTGCATTTATGGAATCTTCCACTGCATGAAAAGTGGGATTTTCGTCAATATACGGCACTGTAGATTGTCGTGGAACTTCAGGTTAGC